GAGAGGGAGAGAGAGAGAGAGAGAGAGAGAGAGAGAGAGAGAAACAAGGAACTGAACCTTTGTAATTTTGTACAGAAGCAACCCTGACCTCCTCACTCAAGTAACGCCACAGGCCTTAGGACTGGAAGATGCTTGGAGAACAAGTGGCCCGGGAGGCCATCCGAACAGATGGGTGGAAGGAGGACAGTGAGCAATTCTTCCCTTTCCTGGGGTTCTGCTCTACTGGCCCCTGATCTCCTTCCCATGTCTTACAACATCTCCTTTCCAAAGCTCAAAATCTGCTTTGATAATTTCTGAAATAGGATGACAGCAAGATGCCATGTGTCTGTCACATCCAGCCACACCAGAGCCAGGGGGTGACAAGGACAAGGAGAGGGCTCCCACCTGCATGCTTGAGATGATGGACACTAGAGGACTTTTCCGTCCCACAAGACGCCTCATTCCAGAGGCGCTGTACTGCGCTCTGTGACTTATGACTTGCGGTAACAAAGATTATCTTTAACATTCTTTAAGCCTGCAACACTTCAAATGAGACCCTTGGAACAGAACACAGCAGTCTAGTCTGAACATGAGCTGCCGCGGGGTCTCCAGCACCAACGACCTTTGTGTCCAAACTTGTCCTGACCACCTTTGCTCCCAGCCTTGGCCTCTCTCAACAAGAGCCTGGTTTACAATGGTACATGGGCTCTCCATGTGCTACTCTGCATCTCCAGGTATGTATCACAAATATCCTTCTTTGGAGACACTCTCTCTGACTGACATTTTAGTTTGTTATTAGCCAAAACTGAGAAGTACAGATTCTATTTTCTGTCACATCTTTTATTTCTTAGAAAAGTACATTTGGCAAAAAATAACAATTGTAGCTTTAGTTACTGAGATGATTTTAAAAAATCTTTCACAATGAAACAAGTGGTCAATTTCATTTTAATTTTCTGGACCCTATACTCTCCCCCCCATCACCATCAGAGTTGTCCAGAAACATAAGAGCAAACCCAGGGCAAACCAGAGGGAACCAGCCAGCCATCCTGTGGCCCCTTCCCTGGACTCCCACGTCATCCTGGTGACTACTTATCTTTGGCAGATTGGCATCTCTGCCCTCGCTCTGCACATGAGAAAACACACCAGAGCACAGCTACTGTCCTCCCAGAGTCTGACCCTCAGGCTATCTTGCTTCCTCCACCCCATAGGTGATGCTGACGCCCACGAGTTCTTTCAGGTTCTCAGGAAAGAGCCCTAATTAAAACTTACTTTTCCATAGCAATGGCTATATCTTGAAAGCCTTGTGCAGTGATGTTGTTTTTGTCCCAGATGACCGTCCTGTTTGAAAAAGAAACCATGAAATGATCCCGAAGCCTGGGGGAGAGGATGCTCTCCCTGCAGAGAAATCTCTGGGAGTCAACAGCAGGTCCAGCCTCTTGACATCATGGCATGACAGTGTCATCTACGAAACTCGTGCTCAAAAACCATGTAATTCAGTTATTAAAAAAAGAAAATTACACAGAAAACAATCTCATAATGTTTAAAGCAAGTTTAGGATGTTGTGATGGACCTACTTCACAGCTATCCCTGTCCCATGCATCTGAAAGTCCAACAGGCCACAGGTTGGACACACCTGTTAGCATGTGAATAGTGGATCGTGACAGGGTAAAGCACAGCTGGCTGTCAAGGGGGCCATGTGTGGGGAAACAGCATGGGGAGACTTTGAAGCAGTGCAGTGGCCCCCACGGTGACTTTGAACAGTAGACCTCTGGTCTCGCTTTTAAGTCTTATAGTGACAGACGTGGGGAGTAGAGAAGACGCCTTGGACTCACAGCGGCGTAACTGTGCGTTAATAAGGACAGGCAGTCCATGATGGACCACTGGCTATGTCACCTCGTGCTGCCATGGGCAGTTTCCTTCATGAGAATATGTTCTCTGATGCTTACAGAACTCACCTGAGGTGCAGCTCTCAGAATGTGGCCTGTCACTAAGGGACACAGACTGCCCAGGTTTGCTCCCTCGGCATGGCCTGTGAGGACTTCCCTGTTCCTCACGGCCACGACCTGGGTAGTCAGCTGTCAAGACGACAGCGGGAAAAAAAGCTGCAACACTTCTGTGGGGTTGTGCTGGACAGCTTTGGTGTCAACCTGACACACCTGGGTAGAGGGAGCCTCAATCGGGGAACTTTCTCCATTGGACTGGCCTGTGGCCATGTCTGTGGGGCATCTTCTTGATTATTGAGTGATGTGGGAGGGCCCAGCCCACTGTGGGTGTTGCCACCCCTGGGCAGGTGGCCCTGTGTCATGTAAGAAAGCAGGCTGAGCAGGGGCCAGGGGAGAGAGCCAGTAAGCAGCGTTCCTCCATGGCCTGGGTTCCAGCTCCCGCCTCCAGGTTCCTGCCCTGAGTTCCTACCTTGGCCTCCCCGATGAACTGTGACCTGAGAGATGTAAGACAAATAAACCTTTCCTCCCCAGGTTGGTAGTGGTCAGTTTGTTTTGTCACCACAGTGAGCACAGGAAGATAATCCCTGGGGAGACACTGTGTAGAAGTTGGGGAGCACCTCAATAACTGCTGTGATAAAAGCCGAAGCTGTCTTCTCTTCTTCCCAGCCAGCACCCTTGAGGTCCGGGTTCTCTACAAGAAGCACTGACCCCTAGGAGCCAAGGCGGTCCTGCCTACCTGAGCTTGGTGTTGATCTGCAGAGCTTTGGCCAGCATTTTTGCTCCCATGTCCCCCATGTTGTTCCCGCTGATGTCCACTTTGGTCAAGGAGGTGTTGCTGCCCAGGGCATTGATGATGATGGTGACCTCGGCCTTGAGTTTTGAGTCAGCCAGAGACAGGGACTGCAGAGGCTGTGGGCAGGTGGCACACACTTAATGGCCTCATCAAAGCAACGACTACTCTCTAAACTCCTTCACAGAGAAGCAGGGATTGGACCCACTGCCATACCTGGTTTTAGAACCACTGCCTAAAACCACTAGGAGCTGAAACCTGGAGGTTCTGGCATAAAACAGACCTCCTGGGGGACACTTGGAGAATTTGCATTTTATTGCTAAATGCCTGTCACTTCTGTGGGAAGTCATGGAGGACCCAGTATAAGACAGGACAAGGTGGATACAAGACACCAAAATCTCCCAGCTGAAGCCCTGTCCCTTTCTACCCATTTTATTATTCTATAAGTGAAATGAAAACCCTAAAATACAGAGGTCAAGTATAAACTAAAAGCCAGTCAGGAGAACGATCGTCAGTCAGATCACATCTCTGTCTACCCACTGCTGCACTTTTTGTTCATAAATTCACCCAACCCTGTCAGCCACCCAGTTCCACAGGCACAGGCCCTTATCCTCATTTCCCAAACAAGACACCGAAGGGTTAAGCAACTCAACCAAAGTCACCCAGGCAGTTGATGGGTAGGAAGCACATGACTGCTTGGGAGCTGGTGGCAAGGGGATCAGAAGTTTGAGTCTAGCCTTAACTACATAGCATGTTCACAAAGCCAGCCTGGGCTACACGGGATCCCATCTTACACAATACAAAATAGCAAAACAAAACCAGTCACGCAGTTAGATAGCAACTGAACTGGGTTCTGAACTCGGCTTGAATAACTGAGTTTCATATTGTATCTCTTAACAATTACACAGCATTGCCCTGACAAGCTTATGTTAGAACTTTCTGGTCATTATGCCATAACTTTATCTTTTATCTGTGTGACCTGTTTATCATACACTGCATATGAATCCACATTAGCGTTGTCTCTGTCCCTTTAAGAGACTTGAAAGCCACGCAGGCTGGGTGCAGGTTTGGTCTGGTTTGCAGAGTACCTGACCAAACACATCACAGGGCTTCTTCCTTGTCCCCAGATCACTTGACCTGCTCACTGTGGACATCTGAGTTTGCAAGACTTGACGCAAGCCCAGCTTAGTAAAATGGGGGAAGACTTCCAGGACTTGAACCAACATGAAAGTTCCAGTTCAGACGTGGAGGATGAGAACAGCATCTGGGTCGTGTGGACTGGTCACCTCTGGTCTTAGGCCATAAGTAAATCTGACATATCAAGCCAGAGAATGCTGAAAGCAAATTCTAAAGTTATCTACAACCAGGGCTCTTAGTGGCCCAGGAGACTGGGGCTAACCATGAGCCTTGGTGATCTCCATGACAACAGCCAAATACACCCTAAGATCTACCATGCCTGCTCAACCATGCCACATGATCCTCAGAGCATCTATCACTGAAGTCCAAGAGCCAGGATGAGGAGGGTAACAGAGTCAAGATTCAGACATTGGTTGGGCACGGTGGCTCCCACCTGTGATTCCAGAACTGGGAGGTAGAGGCAGGAGAACGACTGAGGCCAGCCTAGGCTCCCTGAGACTCTGTTTCTAAAAAACAGCAAGAAAGATACAAAGATACAGCACCATCATGTGTCTGGTTAGACCAAGTGACTACATAGCATCTTTAAACCCATACTGTGTGCTCCCCACACCTAGTCTAGGACAAACCACAAGGCAAACGGGTATTCCTTAGCCTTAGACCTACTGGCGGCTGCTGAGGTAACATGACACTTTAGTCAAAAAGCTTGGCTGTGCTGAGCTCAGCTATAGTGAGGCAGAGTCAGAGTTCTTTTAACAGCTCACATTCAGATAAACAGAAGACAATGGACAGTGCTCAGACATGAACAATGTAATGTTGCAAACACAAACAAATCTGATACTCTTCACAAAAGCGATGACCATGCCTCTCACCACTTCTTTCTTTAAAATTTATTTATTTATTTTATGTGTATGAGTGTTTTGTGTGCATGTGAGTGCACCGTGCATGTGCAATGCCCAAGGAGGCCGGAAGAGGGCGTTGGATACCTTGGAACCAGAGTTACAGATGATTGTGAGCTGCCCTGCTGGGAACTGAACCTGAGTTCTCTGCAAGAGCAGCCAGTGCTTTTAACCACTGTGTCAACTCTCCACCCCCCCCCCATTTCTGCAATCTCTCTTCAACTACTATAGAAATGGTATTTCACAGCTTCTTTCCGATGCTGGAGATCTCTCCAAGCTGCCACACCAACTTTAGCACTATATTCAATATTCAAATTCCAAAACACCCCAGTTAACACTCAAAAACAATGGGCATAGCTATTAATCCAAATAGAAGGACCATTCATGCATAACTATAAGGTCAGTTTTTCCTGATTTATTGACCTTCTGCACAGTCTTAATACTTACTTAATTCTTACTATTTCTTGTCAGAGCTGAGCATGTTTTATCTGGATTCTGTGTCCAAGCTGTAGGCTCTCCCGGGAGAAAGTCACCCTGTTCTGTGGTGACAACATGGATTTCTATGCACTGCTTTCAAACGGGATTCTCTGCCATCTTGGCTGCTCCCTGTCACCATTCCACGAATCTGGAAGTGGTCACCTGAACACCACCATCTACAGCTCAAGGTGACAATAAAGTCACAGGCACCAGGGTTTGCCGCTGAATATCATGTACACTTCTGGGTGACTAGGCTACCCCATGGGCTGCCAAAACGTGCTTCACAAACACGGGGCAGAGTGTCAAAGGCAGAGGTTACTTTCTGAATGCCAACTCGCACATAAATAAAACCAAAGCCGAGTCTAACTGAACCAGTTTTCTTTGGAATTTTTGAACTCATAAGACTAACTCCAAATGATTTTAAGTTGTTTTGCACATTACAGATTCAGAAGTAGAGGGGAAATAGCAGTTAATTCCCTTTTGAAAAGCCCACCTCATTTTCAGTGACACAAAATAAAAAAGCTTTTCACTAACTACACAGTTGTTAGCGATGTACTAATCAAACTTGTAACTTGGCAGAATTTACATTTACATAGCAGATTTTATCATCTGCGAACGTGTTTCCAGGTGAGTTTTAAATATCAAAATTATCTTTAAGAAATTCTAAAATTATACAAACAGTTTGAAGCCCCATATGTAAAACATAAACTGTATAACTTCATAAAAGTCTAAAACTTCTTAAATATTTAGTAAGAAACAAATATTTTGGGATGAGTATGAAGTATGATTCTGTAACATCAGGTTTCCAAATCTTTTAAAGATGGGCCAATGCAGGAAATGTGAACTATGAATAAAGGGGGATGGGAAAAGCCAAATTAAATATGTATAACCAACAGCATTAATTCTGAAAACTGTAAATTACATTCGAATTACAGCCCTGTTTTAATAATCTAGTATAAGAGGGGCAAATTCAGGGTTTATTAGCAGATGAAGACAGAGAGACGTAACGGAATTCATTAAATAATGAGTCTGATACTTTAGCACACAGGTCAGAAAGTCACACAGCAGAGAAGCAAGTGGACAGAACTTTCTGCTGCCCACCAGTCACAGACACCTCTCAGGGGACAAGGCCAAGCAGGGCAGAGTTCTAACTGCCAACCCTGAGCCCCACTCATCACTTCCTCAGAAAGTTCACCTCTAGATGTCAAAGAATCTTGTATCATGTCCTGGTATAAGTTCAAAAGGGAACATATTTTTCAGGAGGCACTTCACCTAATACGAGAAATTACCCTGCAGCCCACAGCTGACTCTCCGCAGAGGCAATCTGAGTTCATTTGGACTTTAGGAGCTGTAAAAGCAGCTGTAAAAGCAAACAAATATGCCTTTGAGAGGAAAAGGACAAAGCCTTAAAGAACATCAGGACAACATAAGGGACACATTGCTCTGAATTCAATGAACTCATGAAAGTGCTTTTACTTTGCTGGTAAAATCTCTTTTCTTTCATCCAGTAGAAATGATCAGTTGAAAAGACAAGCAAGTCAGGTAATCAATACTCACCGAGTCTTCATCTTGAATCATCTGTACTAAGCTGTCTAATATAGGTGTCAGGTTTCTAAAGAGATTTGAAAAGCAGACAGTGGGATCAAATCAAAAGCTTTCAGGAGGCTGGTTATTTTCATCATGGTCATATAAAAAATTCAAAACTCTTACTTGGTTTTCATATTATTAAAATTTTTGCCTAATGCCAGGTGCTGGATTGATCTGTTTTTACTGAGCCACACTATTAGGGTAGATAGGTCAGATTCTAAACCTGGGAAAAGAAAGAATACAGACAGAATCAAAACACATGTAGATAAGTGACTGCTCAGCTGGAATTCAAGGATCTAAAGTGACGCAGTTGGGTGACTTCCTGTTCTGAGCTCAGAGCCCATGACCCTGTGCCTTTATCCTCAAAGGAACTGTTTCTCCCCTTTTCAGGTCCTGCTGGTCCCCGCGGATGAATTCATTCTCTGCAGAATTGGTGACTATGGAAACTCAGCAGGATCTGAGGATCAGCTGAGCTGACAGGTCCCCTCTCCCTGGCTCTATGTAAGAGAGGATTCGGCCACACTGCTCACGGGCAGGTAACTGCAGTGACGGTTATCTATACAGACTCAACAGCTGACTACAACCAGAAATGAAGTTACTCACCTAAGCATCTGAATAAACCAACAAGGGCACAACTTCACTACTACCAAGAACATAAAGTCACTGGACTCAGACCTTTATCACACTACACGGATCTGCTTTGTAGAGTTTGTTTAAAAATGTGCAAATTTGGCCACAAATCAGTAGGCTTCGGCACAGACTCATTCCACAAATGAACTCTATTGCTAAATTGAAAGGCTCAGTGAGTGAAGAAACGAGGTGAGATGTTTAAGGAGCCGCCTCAGCCAGGCTGGCGGGTCGCCCCTTTGTTCCGTGCTCATTCCCAGCAGCACCTTTCCCCCTTCGGAGTGAACTCACCGTTGTCAGAGATGTCCAAGCTGGTGATGTTGTGGATCTCCGCGATGCAACCTTCTAACACTTGAGCTCCTGCTGACCTCAGCTAAGGAAACAGACCAAACACAGGTAAAGCCCACTCACTGCAGCAGGACAAATGATCAATAGAAGAGACTGTCTTAAAATAAGCCGAAAAAGCAAAGGTTTACCAACGCTAAACGAGCCATTACTAACGGAGGTGAGGAGAGGTCATTTCCCGTGGTAAAGAAACGATGCTGTTCCCCACACCACACGATTCAACGTCAAATCCCAAAATGTTTAGAAAAAGGAGAGGGACAAACAGAGGGCTGGTCAACCTGAACAACTCAGTGTTGGGTGGGGGTGTGGCTCAGTGGTAGGGTGCTTATCCACTGACAGGAGCCCTGTGGGCTCCATCTCTAGCACCAAAAAACAAAACAACAGTGTATGTCAACACACAAGAATTTTATTTCTAATTTTGGAAATGTAGCAGATCCCTCTCAGACATGAGAAAGCAGGACGTACTTCATCCCACACCTCTGCTTATAAGGTGTGAATGAGTCTTGGGCCCCAAAGCAGTCACAGGACAGACCCCCCCTCCTCCCCACCCTTCCCTGCAGAGTCTAAGCACCTGGGAGTAGTTCTGTCATTTTTATTCACTGTCCTGCGATCCTACACTCCCTCTTCTGTGGAAGGCCTTCCACAGGATGCAAAGGACCTACTGTGTGGCCCTCCCTGCCCAGTAAACTTACTATCTAATTAGAGAAGAGGAGCCATCATTTATTAGGAGCCCACTATGAGCCAAGGAACGTGACAGGTCTTTTCTTTGGGTAGAAAAAATAACAGATTTCTACACTAAATTTATAACATAAGGTACCATTTTTCTACTTGTTAAAGAATTCTCAATTCACTGGTTCATATGCAGCAATTTCATTCTATGCTGCTTTGGAGCCAGACCTACCAACTTCGCTGGGCCCTCTTGTAAGGTAAGCACAGACCTTTGGGGTCACTGTTTGTATAGAAGTCATTTGAATTCAGTCATTCTTTTTTTTAATATTTTATTTATTATTTTTATTTTATGTGTATCAGTGTATTGCCGGCATGTATGTGAGTGCATCCGTGTCGTGCAATGCCACGGAGGTCAGAAAAGGGTTTCAGATTCCCCTGGAATTGGAGTTGAAGACAGTTCATAGCTGCCATATGGGTGCTGGGAATTGAACCTGGGTCCTCTGCAAGAGTAGTCAGTGCAATGCTCTTAACCACTGGGCCATCTCTCCAGATCCCTTAGTCATTCTTTCTAAGGTGATAACAGATTGCTGTGAGATGCCTTAGGGGAGCTCTGAAGGTGCATGTCACTGAGAGGCAGATCTCTCACTATGTCTGCGCTCAGAAAACCAAGCCCAGCCCCGGGGTAGAGGGCTTCCTGCCCAAGTGTGCGGACCTGCCTCCAGCACAGTCTGCCGGGTCCTCTCATCCATTAGTGGCCCTGTGCGTAGGGATGGGTTCCAGGACCCTGAAGACACCACAACCCACAAAGCTCAACTCCTCTGTGCATAAACATGAGGCCTTTGCAGGAATCACACACTCTCCAGTGTACATTAAAACACCTCCAGGCCTCTTCTAACATTCAGATCCGTGAACATTGTGAACAGACGCTGCATCGGGCTACTCAGAGACTGACAGGCATAGTCTGTGTCTGTCCTGCACAAGCATTATATTTTTCTCCCAATTTTTTAACTTGACGGCGGTAACTCCTCAGGGCCATCGCAAAGCAGAAAGGGCCACTGGATGCGCAGTATGGTGTGACCCTGCCGGTTATTTCCCAGCACTCTCCAGACTTAAAACTCCTGTCGAGCCTGTCTCCTCATGGTACCGCTACAGAAAAAAATTTTAAGCACATCTGATTTGTTATTTATTTATTGATTGATTTTGTGTGTGGGTGTGTATGTATGTGTGTGTGTGTGTGTGTGTGTGTGTGTGTGTGTGTGTGTGTGTGTGTGTGTCTGTGTCTGTGTCTGTGAGGCTATAAGTTGGAGTTAGAGGCAGCTGTCAACTGCCTGAACTGAACATAAGCCCTGCTCAAAGCAGTAAGCACTCTTCACCGCAGAGCTCTCTCTCCAAACACAAAGTTTTTAAGATTTTAATTTTTTTACATATGTCCAAGCAGACAGGTCAAGAAACAGAGCTGACATCAAAAAAGGGACAACTCTACAAAGATAAACGAAGCTCATGGGTCTTTATAATTTCCTATTTGCTGCCAGTTTCTGTGGAGAAACAAAATTCTAGAAGAAAATCACTCTGAAGTAAATATGTTTCACTTATAGAAACGGAAAATGCAAGTCATCTTTAACATTCAAGTTCATTTGTAAATACTTTTTAACCAACAGTATTTGTAATAGACACAAAACTAACTTATTTTTCCAGTGCTTAAAAATAACGACACAGATCAACACATCCTAAGCTACTGATTCAGAGTACTTACACAGAGGCCAAGCTAAGGAAGCCCGAGGAGGAAAAAAAACAAAACAAAAAGATTGATGAGCAGAGGAAGAGCGTGAGGGAACCGACATCCGCATCAGTACACAGTACAGAGTCTAAAGAAATGCTTCCAAAACATGCTCTCCAAAAGGAACTCAAAAATTTAAATAATAAATCATTGTCACTTACCCAGATTATTTCCTAAAATTACCTAAAAGCAAAAGCTTTCCTAAAACAGTAAAAACTTTTCCATTACTGTAAATTAAAATTCTTTTTAATGAATTTGCATAATTAAAGCCATGAGTACAGGTAAAACTGGTTTTTAAATTACTGTCATTTGCATCCCACACACTAGCATTATTTAAAAGAAAGTAAGGTTGGGGTGGGGAGGGTAGTACCCTCCCAGACACTGGGGGCGTTAATGCAGGAAGATGGTGAGTCTGAGGCCAGACTACACCACACAGTGAGTTCCAGTGAAGCATGGGCTGTAGACGGAGACCTTGACTCATACAAACCAACAAAAATAAGCAAAATCCAGCCAGTATTTGTGGGGAGCAGAGACAACAGGTTTGCTACACGGTCTGGTCTACACGGAAAGTTCCAGAGACACCTAGCAAAATGTTGTCTATCTTAAAAAGGAAAACCAGAGAGCAGTAAACACACTGAACCACTGAACAATTTAACTGCATTTTTTTTTTTTTTTCATAGTAGCTCAGGTTCAAGGAGGGGAAGATTAAAGGCTCTGGTGGTGGTTTGAAGGCTCTCGGGTATCTGAACGCTGGTATATGGGCCCCATATGGGGCTCTGTTTGTGGAGGTTTAGGAGGTGCGGCATTGCTGGAGGAAGCACATCACTGGGGGTGGGCTTTGGGAGTTCATAGCCTTGCCCCACTTCGGGTTTCTCTTGGCTTCCTGCGAGTGCTTGAAGATGTCTCCTCCGGCTGCCTCCTGCCATGCCTCCCGCCATGATGGACTCTGACCCCTCTAGATCCATATGCCAAATAACCTCGTCTTTCGATCAGGTGCCTCGGTCATGGTGTTTGTCACAGAACAGGAAAGTAGCTGATACAATGCTACCCACAGTTCTAAATGAAAAGTCACATCTAACGCGAGTATGTGTAACAGGGTCAAGGACGTGATGGCGGACCTACAATCCCAGCCCCTGGGAAAAGAAACGGGAATCAGCAGTTCCTTGGCCACAAAGCAAAGTCAAGGGCAGGCCGGACCAGGTGAGAAATAAATAAGAATAAATAAATAAGGTTTTTTTTTAATTGACTCTGATTGATCATGAGGGACAAGGGTAAACGTAGAACTCGTCCATGATTTTGACCAGTGTGCTGAGGGTGAAGAAGGCTGTGTCCACAGTGGGGAAACAGAATAAACAAGAAGGTACTTATGTGCTAATGAAAGTTTTGTTCTGAGACTATTATATAAACTCCAATGTACGGAAGGCAGGAGACTAACAACAAATCCCCAAAGCACCAAGCATTCCAACGCAGATCACACAGAAATTCCAAATACCCTTCAGGGGCAGTTTCCTGCATCATGAAGAGGAAATTGAAATCTAGTCACATTTGGACATCTAGCCCCAAGAAGTAAAGACAGACTGCAACACTGTGACGCAGTTTAGAAAAATAATTTTGTACTTTACCAATCCTAATGAACAGCAGGGTAATTAATATGTAACCTGGCAGCGTGGTCACTGGTCCTACAATCTAAACTATAAAATGGTTTGAGAACACGATGCCAAAATACTTGTTGGGCTAGTTTTCAACTACATTAGACAACTGTCCCAGCTTTATCATAAGGAAAACATGCTGGATTTCGAACAGGACGTCTCATCAGGCCGATGATTCCACATTTGAATCTAATAGCCTAACACTGCAGTTTGACCTGTGCCGAGTTCCACAGACATACTAACTTCCTGTTTCCGACAGAACAAGCCTTTGCAGCCTCATCATTTCACTCCCATGATAAAAGATGGATTTTAAAAAAGATTTTATTAATTATTTATTTTATGTGTTCAAGTGTATTGCCTGCATGTGTGTAAGTGCACACGTGTCAATCAATGCCCACAGAGTCAGAAGATGGTGTTGGATCCCTTGGAACTGGAGTCACAGATAGTTGTTAACTGTCATGTGGGTGCTGGGAATCGAACCTGAGTCCTCTCTAAGAGCAGCCAGTGCTCTAAACTGCTGAGCTATCTCTCCAGCCCCCAAAATGGTTTTCATTAATAGCATGTCCTTAGTAAAGTGCAAGCAAAGCATTTCTATCGCCGGAGTTGGTTTCTACTTTATGTCTGTGTTTATAAATGAAAGACCATTGATTTATGTGGGAAAGATAAACAAAATTAACATTTTTTTGAGCTTTCGGGTTTTAGCTTCTGTATTTTTTTGCTTTTCCAAAATAAATCAGAATATAGGTCACAATGGCAATGCTCACCCCCAAATTAATGAAAATTCCTACACTGAGAATTCATATGGTGCAATTACACTCTTGCTGACTCCTAGACTTTTCATAGATATGTGTGACTTCAACATCTAGTGTGGCCTGTTGCCTGGTGTTCTGTTAGGAGGCAGTAGGGACAATACAATCAGGACACAAGCACTGCCCTTCAGGAAGCCACAACCCGGCTGGGAAGACACACAAGAGCCAATTTATATCTGTGCGGGGGGTGGGGGGGGCTACATATCAAGAGAGAAATGTGGCAGGAGAGAGGTGAACAGTGACAGAGGGTGACCAAAGGGCACTTTTCCCAAAAGAGTTCCTTGTGGCCACTTCCAAAGGGAACTAGTAATATTATTTCCATCTTGCAAGTGCACAAATTGAGAGTCAGTCACATCGGCTGTGAGATCTTCTTCGTCAACTTGACTAGATTCACAATCACCTAGGAATGAGCCTGGGCAGCCACCTGCCACAGTAATGAGAAATGAAACTAAGGCACCAGCCACTCCATCTAGGATGGCTCAGTATAGGAATCTGCAGGATGTGGAGGGAGATGGGTCTTGAGTCTCTTAGAGCCTCACAGAGGGAGGCCTTGGGAGGAAAAGGATCAGGGTTAGCGGTTCTGCAACAACAGCACGGTAGGCTTAAAGACACAAGCAGGCATTGAAACCCCTCGCCCCACCTCCAGCCCTGGGAAGAAGACAGAGGGCAGACATGCTGAACAAGCCAGGCTCAAACAGGCCAAGTGTCTGCACCTAGGGAGTCTTGCTAATCGCCACATGAACTGACAATTTCAAGATCATAAAAGTCTAGGTACCCTCTAAAACACACAGGCTTTCTCAAGGGCTCTGATCAGAAGTGTTGGAACTGCTCTAGAATTCCAAGAGACATTTTAATGTTCCCATCTTAAATCAAGACATTAAAAAGTAAAGTTCATAAGAGGACAGCCTTTCCCCTTTACACTCTGCAAACCCACGTCTGGCTCTGCACACTTGTGGAAACAGCGTGGCTGCACCTCATGAGGGTGGAGCCAGTTTATGGCTTTGTAACTTAAGCATTCATCATAAACACACAGGCAACGGGCACTAGGAACGAAGGAACCATTAAAAGCATCCCCATGTACTTGAAAAGGTGTTCTGCGGCTACTTGTATAAAAAATAGCACAACACAGAAGATGTGAGACTTGTGCGATGTGGTTTTCGGCCTCCTTTCTCCCCGTGGAATCACAGTACCACACTTTTTCCAAGAAGGATGGAAAGCAATTTTGAGGCTTCGCCTAGTCCACTGTATAGTAAGGTCTTACCTCACAGCTGCTGAGGTCAAGTGAGACTCCCTTCAAGCTATGATTGCAGGCCAGGCCCAACAGCAGAGCCCTGAGGAGAGAAAACACACATATTAGGCAAGAACACACAGCACATACACACACAACAACAAACAGACACAAATACAGCAATCACACACACAGCAAGCACACGCGCAGTGATCACATACACACACACACACACACACACACACACACACACACACAGAGAGCAAGCACAATGAATAAACACTGGAAAAAATTGCACTTTTTCTATAACATAGGTCAGGCACCACGCATTCTCTCATTGTGTGAAAATGCCAATTGTGTTTCTGCCCCAAAAGTGGGCACGTGAGGCTTCAGCATTCTTCTGACAGGTGGCGACTCCACCATACATGCAAACCCTATGCAAATTCACCCACAAAATATCTAATTGCATATGGAGACCAAATTGTGTTCATTACAGATAAATTCCCAGCCTGAGACCAGCTTTAATAATCTTAGAATATTATTAGGAGACTGTTATTAGCATGGCAAACTGAAGCTGGTTTTCCCTAAGGAATATGGCACTGAGGGAGTCTGGCCAAATGGTATTCCAGGATGCGAAATGTCAGCTATAGAAGTTTTTTAAGGCATCTAAGCAAGTGTGCGTGTGACGATATAGACACCCTGGAGATAAGCAGGTGCTGGATTTGTGCTTGTGTTCAGGATCCTGCCAATCCAGCCACCCTTGAGACCAGGATGGATGGCATCTCTCTTCCAAAGACTGAGGAACTGGGATTCATTACTCAGATGTCAAAACTCTAAGAAAATGGCTTCATTACACTCTTGCATGCCAGTCCTGTGAAGTCCAACATAGTTGAGCACCTGGATTCACATGTGCACACACGGTTCTTACACTCCACTGACAGAGAACAGGTGGAATGGCTCTGTGGGCGAAGGTGCCTGCTGCCGAGTCTGATGACCTGAGTTCGATCCCCATAACCCACAAGATAAAAAGAGAAAACCAATTCCTGCAAGTTGTCCTCTGTACTCCACATGCCATGGTACATGTGCGTACACACACACACACACACACCACACACACACTGGGTAAATGTAAAAACAAAATGTAAAAATAAAATCCTCTGAATGGAAAAAAAAAAGTCCTCAGTCAGACCTAGTGACAAACTCGACGACTCAAAGCACAAAGCTTGTGCTTCCAGGAGAAGGAAACAGACACAGTGACAGTGACCAGGACACAAGGCAGGCACCAAGTGCACTGAGCGTGTGCTACTAGGCATTTTTGACCTGGAGTGACAGCCTAAGGAACTCTGCCACCCCAGAAGGGACCTTTCCCTAGAGAAAGGACCATCCCCCAGAAAAAAGGCCTCCCCCGCAGGGAAAGGACCACCTCCCCCCCAGGGGAAGGGCCTCCTCCCCCAGAAAAAGAATGCCCCCCACCAGAGAAAGGACCCTCCCCGCCGAGAAAGAAAGGATCTCCCCCTAAAGTGCGTGAGGGCAAAGAGAATATGGGAGAAGGGGATATCATATGCCAGGGCTTCGGGGTGTGTCTTCCCAGCAATTCTCGGCCCTCATGTACCCAGGGAGAACTCGGGCAGCCATGCCCCAACACCCACTAGCACGGCCACGAGCCCCACAGCACGATGGAGAGAGACCCTGCAGCCATGTCTGCCCAGGATCATGAACTCTCCCTCTGGAACCACAAGCCAAAATAAACTCTCTGTTCTAAAAGTCACCTCAGTCATGGTGTTTTATCACATAACAGAAAAGATGCTGCCGGACCCGCCATCGACGCCCTGTGAAAGCGCACTGGTGAAATGTGTGTGCATCCTGAACACTGTGTGGACTAGAAACAAGAGGCCATTTGGTGATGTCCAGACTCTGATTTTACCAATGAGACCTTGAGACCCCTCCAAAGATCAAGAGCCAGACCCCGAGGACTAGCGCTTGGTTCGTCGTCTCTGGCACCCTGGGCAGCAGAGGGCTGCTTCTGGAGAGAAAAGGGGTGGGGAGGGGAAGAGGGCCAACTGCATGAATAACTGGCACGTTCAGGACGTGACACGGGTAGCACTTCTCGGATGGTGTTTACAGTAGGGACTAGTGAACTGAGCTTAGAACATGACCAAGGCACTGCCTCCTGTTTCCGGTACAGCATTCAGGACGCGTGCACACATCTCAGTGTGTCAATGGAGGGGTCTGGTACAGTCTCTTCTGTGATGTGATAAAACATTGAGGCAGCTTATAGAACAAAGAGTTTATTTTGTCTCATGGTTCCAGAGGAAGAGTTCATGATGGCTTGCGTTCATCCTCCAGCACATACAGGAAACAGAGAACCGGGCGGGCTGAGGCTACGAACTTTCAACTCCTACCCTGCCCTGACATACTTCTCCAGCAAGGCTGCACTGCCAAACCGCCCCAAACAGCCTTGTGAACTGGGGGCTAAGTGCAAACACATGAGCCTCGGGGGACATGTCTCATTCAACCCACCACAGAGGGAAAAGACCCGTTTTCTATATGGATTAAAGCCAGCAAAGTGGTGTACTTTAAGATATTTAACCACAAGAGGCCAATGATTAGGGGGCACAGGCTCAAAAGACCAGTGAAAACCCACTCAAATTGTTTGAAAAAAGAAAAACTACCAAGCCAGGTCAGGCATGGTGGTGCATCCCAGCACTCCAGAGGCAGAGGCAGGTGGATCTCTGTAAGTTCAAGGCCAGCCTGGTGTACTTAGCGAGTTCCAGGCCAGCTGGGGCTATAAGGAAACCCTGTCTTCCCTGCCCCAACCCCCCAGAAAACCCTACCATAAAGCTCAGCGGGCGCTAGGGGAAGCTGTAGTGAGACACTGCCCCTCTTAACCAAAGGACAGCAAGGTACCTAATGATCATCTGCCCAATCCTCAAAATAATTGCAGAATTGGCTCACAGGGGGATGTACATTAATCTTCTCAGCTCTGGCAAACTGGAATTTTGGAGCAGCACACAGACTGGGTTCACAACTAAGATAGGCTGGTGACAGAGCTCAGTGGTATAGCAATTGTCTGGCATGTGTAAAGTGGTAGGTTCAATCCCTGGTTTCCCAAAAAGACTCTAAAAGATGAGGCTGGAGCCAAGGGGTACATGTGGCGGGGAGGGGAGGGGAAAGTGGGAGAACAGGAGGAGACAAGGCACAGAGACGCACAGTAGGCCCTCAGGAATGCACCACCAACAGAACCGTCCGCCCAGCCAAAATGCCCTCTTTATGAGCTCAGCTGTGCCGGCAAAAGACCATCCCGGCTGGGCTTGTTGACTGTTGATGGTCCCTCACAGAGGAAGGGCAGGAGGGTCACGGGACCCTGAGTACCTAACCGCTCCTCCAGTCAGCTGTACGATTATCTACCTTAATTGCACATAGCCTTGGGGAGGGGCCAGAGCATATAGACCAGGAAGGTTGGGGAGGCATGGGGCAGTCATCACCCATGCTGGGAGGAGATAGACCAGGAAGGTTGGGGAGGCATGGGGCAGTCATCACCCATGCTGGGAGGAGACCTCCCACACTATTGCCACAAACCCTCACCCATTGCTCTATAAGTAAGAAGTAAGCTTACTAAACTCATTGGTTCCTCCAGAGTGACCTGTGGTGGAATCATACCTCGATTTGTAATTGGGACCTTAGGAATGGGTGGGTACTGTGTCTGGCTCAGGGAAGGAATTTTAGCAACACATCAGAACTAGACTGTTCTGCCCCCTGTGTTTCCTTAAGGTCTTGGAAACACTTATCAGGAGCCGAAAACCTCGAGGGAAAGTGTAACTGTGAAGTAGTTATAGTCTTTGTTTCCTGAAAGAGCCTCCGAGCGGGAAACTTCTAGAAGGCGCTATCTCCAGACTCAAGTGTGACTCTCATAGCTATGGATCCCAAATCCTTAAGAACAAGGGTGTCTCTCTGCCCCTCGGGAGACAGCGGAAGGAGATATGCGGTCGGGAACAGCTGTACTGCAGACACAGCTGGCTGACAACAGAGTTCCCTGCAGTGCCGTTCCTGAGGGCCTTGGCTGCCCTCTCCCCCTAAGGGGGGCTTGGCTCCCAGCTCAACTCCCTCTGTCCAATCTCGCTCTCTTCCTTCAATGCCCTTCCCTGGTATGATCCTTACTGTTGACTGCCAATTTGTCAGACAGAATTTAGAATCGTTAGGGGAACAAGCCTCAGACCATGCCTGTGAACGATCATCTTAATTAGGTTAATGGACATGGGAAGATCCATCTTAATTATAGGTGGGACCATTTCCTAGGTGGGGCTCCCAGACCTTATGAAGTGGAAAAAGGTCGCTGATAAACTGAATGCCTGGGTGCGTGGATTAGTCCTTCCTGATGTCAGACTGTGAACACTATGCGGCCAGCTGCTTCATTTCCAGCTTGACTTCTCCATCAGGATGGCCTGTACCCATGAGCTGGGAGCAGAACAAGCCCACTCTCCCTTAAGTTGCTTTTTCAGACTGTTTTATCACACCACCGGAAAAGAAAAAGACACCTGGGTACTCCCCAAAGCAACCTCATAAATGTCCTAGGAACTAATGACAGCCTCCAAGGTGGCTGTTAGGCCCACATGCAACAATTATGTTGAAGAACTTACTTAGCCAGCACACAGTAGGGTCATAAGAAAGATTAGCTGGATGACTGTGTCAATATATGTGACTATATTATAAAGGAATCCCTTCAGAATAATTCTGATGCTGTTTCAATGAACGAGCACATCAACCACCAAATCATGATGATACATGCGTGTTTTACACTTTAACCTCGAATACCTTAATTCAATAAGCAAATTTTTAAGGCCTGCTATGGGGATGGAGAGATGGATGCATGGTTAAGAGCACTTGTTGCTCTTGCAGAGGACTCAAGTCCGTTCCCAGCACCCACAACTGTACGTAACCCCAGTTCCAGGGGATCCGAGGTCCTCTTCTGGCCTCCACGGGCTCTGCATGCATGTGGTGTGCTTACAGACATGCAGGTTAACATTCATACACGTAAAATAAAAATAAATAAATCTCGGTCGGTCAGAACAATGTACAAAACAGAGGATAATAGAAAGACTGTCATCTGGGAAAGTATCCTAAGGTTTTTTTGCTGATGCACATTAAGAACACACGTGATCAGGGCTCACACCGCTGTTTGCACATGCAGGGAACACAGCTTGCATGTCTTTGTCCCTTCCCTCAAGCACATCTGCAATCGCACACTCCACCTGAAAAGCTCTGGAGAACATGAAAGGATCACTCACTTTAAGGGCTCAGGAGACAGCTTCGTGCCAGAAAGGCTGATGTGCGCCAAAGCCAGGGAGCTGCTGAAGAAGTGCTTGAAAGTCGGGGGCACCTCCTTCCCCTTCCTGTGGAGACACAAGCAGCATGCAGGCACTTAGGCTCCCTTGACCGTGAGTGTTACTTACACAGACACATGGAACAAAATCAGTCAGATTTCCAATACAAACAAGTGTCTAAAAGCTAAGTTAATAATTCCACACTATCAAAGAGATGATGTGAGAAATTAACATCTATAATTAAATCTCAAAACAATTTATTGCCAGTGTTTGAAGGTAATAAGCTCATTACATTTTCCCCTGTTTATCCTCAGGAAACCTAAATCTAGGTGTTTTCCACCAGTGTTAAGACCTTTTAGCCACTGTACGGCTTCCGTGTTGAACACCTCGGCCTGCCATGGGTAGTATGTTTTGGTTGTATGTCTATTTGGTTTTGACAGTACTAAAGAGGGAAACTAGGATGTCACACACGGGAGGCAAGCACTCTACCCAACCACAGTCTCAGTTCCATCCATATGTAGACAAAGATGACCCTGAACTCCTGACCTTCCTGCCTCTACCCACCAGGTGCTGGGACTACAGGAGTGTACCATCACACCCAGCTTCATTTTGAAGCAGAGTTTCACTATGTAGCCCAGGCTGGCCAACAACCTCTTCACAATCTCCTGTTTCTTCCTTCCAATGGCAGAGATGACAGACGTGCCCTGCCACAACTGGCCAGGCAGTATATTTAGACTAACAGGTAGAGCCAATGAGACGGTGACCTTGGATGGGGCTGAGGGAGTACAGAGGTGAACAGCATCAAGCCCGCATGCCCAATAACCTATCTCTTTATTGCGTCCACATTGCAAACCCAGCATTTCAGACCAAATATTAGATTAAGACAAACCACAAAATGAAATGTCTCGGCAATGTAAAAGCTTCCTTTAGCCATGACAGTCAGAATGGGTCACGACATATGGCTCAGTGGTAGGGCCGAGTCAACTCCCTACTATAAAGGTTTAAGATGAAACAGGCCTCAAGTGTCCACACTGAAATGTGCTTGTTCCATCCTGTTAGAAATGACAGGCAGCTGGCTCTGCTCAGCCCTTTGCAGATGCACAGCCAGCATCTCCATCCACACCCCATGGAAGGGTCTGTAGACTCTCAGGCAGCACACACCCAGGGGGGTCTAGCTCTGCCGCCACATAATACTCAACAATATTTCATGTGCACAGGTCTTTGGAAACCTGTCACTACATGACAGCTTTAAAAGCAGTATTTTAAAACATGACCAGCTCAAACTATTCTGGAAGATCAAAGTAAGCCCTGAGAATCTTTACCTAACAGGAAAAAACATTAAACTAAGAGTAAGTAGAGTTCTGCTAGGATCTGTGATGACAGACATTTCAGAGAAACCTGCTTCCGGGTGGACCGGCAGCTTGCACATTCCTGTTTGTTTCTGGTAAGCAAATGTGGCATGCTGTTTACCAGTTAAAGTTCTATTCCTGTCCCTCTGTTGGGAGTTTCAAAGTTTCCTAATATTCTGTCCCTTTCTGAGGACAGTGGCATTTCACCACTGTACTGACAGGTAGCTTGGCAGTGTGAGCCTCTCTCTATGACAAATGCAGTGTGAAAGGGCCTGAAGCTATCTGCAAGAGAGCAGCTTTAGAGCCAGGACACACACTGCCAGGGTCACCCTGCCCTCTGCTTCATGTCTGTCAAGGCTCCAGATAAACGGATGTCTTGTCTCAGGCTGGAGGTGACACGGTCGGTCCACAAGGGACACACTGCAAAACCACTGTGGCTGCGAGTCGTGAATCAAGATGGGGAAACTGAAGAGAGGGGTGATTACCATAGAACAACCTGGCCTATCCTGATGGGTACAATTATGAAATTATCTGTGAACAAAAGTCTGCCTGGCCTGGCTAACAATCTACACCTCAGTATAAATGCACTGAATTTAACATAATTGCTGAGGGCTTTCCATGAGTCTATCTAGGTAAGGCACTAAGTATATTAAACAGTTTAATCATAACCTTTCATTCAGGAGACAAGGCAATTTGTTAGTACAGTTCTCCTCCACCAGTGGAACAGCTCCGCCGAACACCAATCATCTCCGAATTCACAAAACGTGAACTCAAAAGAGCTGATTATACAAAAACCCTTATAAGCTGAGCTGTCATCCTATAATTCAGCTCCTCCGTCAACTAGAGCTCTGTCAAAGTGAGGCTTCGTGACCTGCCTCCAAAAGCGTAACACGACAGAATACCCTCAGAGAATACTCTCCCCCTCCGTGCTGTCTCCCACACTCGACACTATCTACCCTCCTTCGAGGAATTTAGGATGTACGTTTGCTGGTGTAAAGACACATCACTCTTTCTGGTTTGTTTGTGTCAGATAGAGTCCCATATAGTCTGGGCTGGTCTCAAACTCACTATGTAACTGAGGATGATCTTAAACTCCTGACCCTCTGGCCTCCACCTCCTGGGATTGCAGACATATCCCACCCAACCTGGATGGTTCACATCACTCTTAAAGTAATGGACCCAAAGCACTTTGCAATACAGATGGACACTTTTGCTCTGTGTAGAATAAAGCATGCCACAAAACTGCATTTTCCAAATAAGTCAAGATAATCCTCTGGAATGTGCAAAGCTTTTAAAACATTAACTAGTAAACAGGAGATAGCTCTACTATTAGGCAATACTCCATATCATTAAAGAATAAAACCTGAAAGATGCTGTGTATGCTGTGTGTGCTTTTCTAACTGGTGAGGGTTGAACTGGACCAATGCACAGGATGGGCCCTGGACGCCACACCTGTGCGGCACAGAGGTTTTCATAATCCCCCCTTCACAACAGCTACTGCTGAGGAGTTCCTCTGCTGTTTACAAATCCTGGCTGCTTCCAACGTTCTACCTGGTTTAGTCATCAGGCCTAAGTCAGGAGGTAGGACCAGGGTGCTGAAATTGGCCTGTCCCTCCTGCAAATCATACTCACGAGCTCTGAGGTCACTATTCTTTGCTCTGAGACGTTGCTCAAACTTATTTCTAAGCCTGTCATTAAGAAATAGCTATAGACATATTTTTTAAGTCTTTTATTTATTCACTTATGTATCTGGATGTGAGCTTGCTTAAATATACATGCATCACATTGAGGCAAGAGACTGACCAGGCCAGAAAAAATCATTAAATCCCTTGGAACTGGAGTTACAGGTGGTTGTATGTGCTGAGAACTTAACTACCGAGTCATCTCTCCAGCCACCACAGACATTTTTTAAAAGGGTTTTACCATATTAAGAGAGAGCACAGGGCTAGAGTTAACTCAGCAGTTAAGAGTACTTGCTCTCGCAGATGACCTAAGTTTGGTTCCCAGCACCCACATAGTGGGTCACGACTGTCCATAACTCCACCCCCATGGGTAGATCTGATGTATTCTTCTGGCCTCATGGGCACTAACAAATAAATAAAGCAGATATGGTGGCACATGACTTTAACCTCAGTATTCAAGAAGCAAAGGCAGGTAGATCTCTTGTGAGTTCAAGGCCAAGCAGGTCTACATAGTGAGTTTCAGACCAGCTGGGCTACATAATGAGAACCTGCCTCAAAAGGAAAACGAAAGACTCTTAAAGGAGTGGGGGAGCACCTATCCACAGTGCACTGTGACAGAGCCCATGGACACAGGCCAGGGCTAGGGAAAAGAATGGTGATAAACCCGGTGGTGCACACCTTTAATCCCAGCACTGGGGAGGCAGAGGTAGGCGGATCACTTTGAGATGGAGGCTAGCCTGGTCTATATAGCAAGTTCCAGGCCAGCTGGAGCTACAGGGAAACCCCACCACCACCACCACCCCATCTCAAAAACACATAAACTAAATAGCTAAATTAATGTAAACAAATAAAAAGATGCAATAAAAATCAAACTTTCGTGGCCCAATATTTAGAGCTAGGGTTTAAGGCCATCTTTCATATACATTTGCCTCCCAAGCCAGATATGGTGTCCATATACCTGTAATCCCAACACTTGGACGGCTGAGGCAAGAGGATTGCCCTGAGTTTGAGGCCAGGCTGGGCTACAAACTGAGTCTCCATCTCAAAAACCACCACCACTCAGCACATAGGAGGCAGACACAAGTGGATCTATGTGAGTTCAGTCTGGTTCGCATAGGGAGTTCCAGGCCTGCCAGGACCACATAGTGAGACCCTGTCTCAAACAAACAAACAAAACCTAGAACAGAACAACAGCAAACCCCCTCCGTCACTCTCTCCTCATTATTCCCACAGCTTCTCCACAGCAGAGGGAGCAGGAAGGCGGCCATACCGGTGACAGAAGACTGTTCTGGAGAGGTTGAGCACAGCTAAGCACCGAAGGCAACCCCGGAGAAGAGCGCCGCTCACCTGAGGAGGAAACAGGACGTTAAGCAAGTTGAGCAATTCCGGGTCCATGAGAGTATTTTCTAGAGACAGGGCCCCATCCCATCAAAGGAGCTGTTCTGAGAAGCAATTACCATATCCAGAGGGCACTCCGTGTTGGATAAATCCAGGTGGACGATGGCGTTGGGCTGGGCCAAGAAACTGTACATGTGCTTGAAAGAAACAGAAAAGTGTAAGGATGTAGATGGGGAAACACATCCCGCCACGGAAGCCACTGCTTTGAGACACAGTCTCCTGCCCTCACCAGGACCACCTTGACCATTGCCATAAAGGTTTGCAGACTTTCCTGTCATTCCATTGTCTTCGCTGGGTTCAAAAATCCATAAGGAATTCAAAATAACATTTCCCAGGTATAAAAATATGTTCTTACAGAAGACTCGGGTTTGAATCCCAGCACCCACATGGCAGCTAACAACTGTCCGTAACTCCAGTTCCAGGAGATCTGACAGCCTCTTCTGTCCTCCACGTGCATTGCAAGACATGGGTGCACTTACCTACATGCAGGTATAAAACTCATACACATAAAATAAAAATAATAAGTAAAATATTTTTTAAAAATATGGCCCAGAATAACCTTGACGGCCTAGCACCTCTTTTATTACAGGTAACTCGGCCTCCCAGATACCTCAGCTCTTAGTGTGTAATTCTTTGGAGCACTGCTAATTAGTTTTGACTCTGCAGTCTGAAATATCACCTGAATTATAGTCACCCCATCAAAATGGGAACCCTGCTGAAATCCTTGGAAGATGCCATTTGAACTGGAGTCACTGGATGAACTCAGGCTACATTCTCTTCTGCCCAACAAAATGTCCTTAGTGTCTTCAAAAATCTAACAAGATTGTCCTAAAAGAATTACTAGGAAAAAAAAAAAAAAAAAAAAAAAAGCCCTCAAATTTCAATATTGCTAAGATTTCTGGTTCGGGCATCACAACGCTTAAATTGTCCTCACCCTGCCCCCAAAGGACACGAAAACATGAAGCCAATCTTGCTCTGTCATCCTGTAGTCTCCCGGTGTAAAGGAGACACAGACACAGCCCAAGCTCCCCAGGCCACAACCTTCATTTCTCTGGGCACCACCAGGCACTTGAACCTGAAAACAAGCTTAGGGTGACAGAGCTTCAGTCCTGGGCCAATGCTCATTAAAACGCCGCAGTTGGACTCCGAGGGGCTTCCGAAAACTCTCTAGAAAGGAGTTCAGAAGAGCACAAAGCTGGCCTCAAATGCTTCTGGGTAACGGGTGACCCAGAACAGCATTCTGGGGGACTTACATGAAGACCCGCCGTCTCTGCGCCTCCTTCCATTGTGTGTGGTTTTGTCTCCACCTACCAAATGGGGGAGTTCCTACTGCCCCAAAGTCCTGTTAAAACCTAGTGGCCAGTCCCCTGGCAGTCCCTTTCCCAGAAAGCACCAGGCCAGGTGAGTCAGTGCACCTGCCGAGGGCTCCCAGAACCGGCATGTCCTGGCTAGGAGCCCATGCTCACTCAGCTTCCTCACCACACTCCGCTGTACCCGGAGGCAAGCTGGCACATGCCACACCCCTGGACCTGGAAGTCTTGAGCCATTTGGTTGTCTGAGGTAATTATTCATGCCCTGTTATGGCTGAGTCATTATTTAATACCAGTCTCTTGCTTTGGTTTGCCCACCTGCCCTCCCTCCTCTCTCTCTCTCCCTCTCCTCCCTCCCTCCTTCCGTCTCTCTTTCTTTCTTGGTCTTACTCTGTAACACAGGCTGATCTCACACTCATGGCAATCCCCCTGTCTCAGCCTCCCGAGTAATGGGATTATAGGAATGGGCCCCCAGCACTTCCTCTCTCTTGTATCCCCTACTCTGGCCCTTCTTCACTTTGCTGCTGTAAAGCTTCCTCCATCCTCATCTGGCTCTTAGCTTTATCTTGTAGGGGAGAGGTTTAAGAATCATCACTGAAGGGCAACCGAACCGGGAAAATGTTCTGGGAATTGTCAAAATGCACCTGGAAGCAAGTAGTGTTCAGACGATTTCAAGTGTGGAGGGAAAAGCCAAACTAGAAATAAACCTGGAGAGGCTTCCCTCTCACGTTCCCCGCCTTACAGTCAAGCAACCAAAAGGAGAATCTATTCCAGTTCCTCCTCCCAGCAGAGGCGGCCCTGGGCTGCAAACGAAGGCGCTTCCCAGCCCACGTGAGCTGCCCGGCCTGTTGCTGAGGGAAGATTTCTCTCTGAATCCCATCGTGGTGGCCAGGAGGGACCACTTGCCACCCATGGTGATGAACTCATAACTCAGTTTCCATGTCAATAAGATCGGTTAAGCATTTCTATTACTGTTGAAGTGCATGAAAAATCCTGCTAGAATTCAGACGTACTTTGCCTCATAGTGAAACTCTGATAAAGAATAGTTCCCGATTACATTTACTTTGTTTATGGGTTAGTCTGTAGCTGGGATTATCCCATAACCCCTTTAACAGCAATACAAATAAATATCAGAAACTGGGCACTTTTGCTCACATCTGTACTCCCAGCCCTGGGGAGGCTGAGGTAGGAGGAACACTGAATTGGACAGAGGCCAGCCTGGCGGGCTACATCGTGAGTTCCAAGCCCGCCAGGCTACACCTTGTCTCAATAAACCACAGCACCAATATTCTCAACAGCTCTACTTAATGACGAAACAGTATTTCCAGAAACAACAGGAACCTCGGCAGCAGCATTTAAGTGCAAAGCAACTTAATTTTGGTGACAGGCTATATTCAAATAAAGCAGGCTCTGGAGTCTTCACTAGAACGCCTCACGAGCTTTTAACATGATCTTAAGGTGTAACTGAAGAACATCACGTTTAGAAATGACTCCAGGCTTGCTGCGTCCAGCCCCCTCAGTGAGGAAGGGAAAACTTACCGAGAGTTCATCTCCACGGAGGGTGTTCCCTGAGAGCTCCAGGTGGGTGAGGGTGGAGGCAGTCAGAGGGTTGGCACTGAGGGACTGAGAAAGGCTATTCACCCCTGCAACATCAGAAATGTCCAGGCTTGATTACAGGAAACAGAGTTTCCATAAATGGCTCTGCAGTCTCATCAATCAGCCAGACCAAGGTTAACCAGGAGCCCTACGGTCCCCAGAGGGGAGCTTTGGTGGCTTCCCTGACAGATCCTCTGGGAAGCCAGGCTGCTCACAGACACGGACAGCCTGTACTTTCATGCATCCAAGAACAGAAAACATTTTACTTTCTAGTCCCAGAGTGAGGAAAGCCATCCAGCTGGCAAGCGTGTTGAGCCTCCATTTAATCCCACCACTGATTCTTGACTTAGTGACTAGCATTTGAATGATGTACATTCAAGTACAGGTCATGTGGTCTGCCGGAGCGCTAGTGTGGTAGAGGAATACACTGCTCTATTTAAATATGTTATACTCAAGGCAAACCAATTTGTATGGGAATGGATTTCTAAACAGTAAGAAGATGAGATACTTACAAATGCACAGGGAAAAGGAGCGAGTATTTACCTTGGCTATTTTGGAGGGACAGGTAAACTCAAACTCATAGAAACCCTCCTGCCTCAGCCTCCTGGGTTTACTTAGGGTAACAGGCCCGTAACACCATGCCTGGCTAAGACACTCGGTGCTCTTTTTATACTCATGACAAAGGGCTCAAGGTGAACCAAACTAAGTTGACAAGCAGCATCTGTAAGCAATGACCATGACAAGGTAACATGGCTGTGTGCAGCGCTGTGTCCTGTACGTGTGGGGAAGTTAAGGACACTGGCCTGCAAGTCACAGCTTGGCAGTGGCTGCATTTTTGCCTCTTTTCACCAGGGAGTGAAGGTTCTTGGAGGTGTGTGGCTGGCTATCAAATAGGAGCATAGAAGTGTCTGGGCTTCACAAGCTCCCCAAATCACTAAAAGCACTCTTTTTTTCTTAATATTCTATTTATTATTTTTATTTTATGTGTATGAGTGTATTGTTGGCATGTGTGTAAGTGTGCCTGTGTCATGCAATGCCCATGGAGGTCAGAAGGTGTTAGATCCCCTGGAACTGGAGTTTGGGCGGTTGTTAGCTGCCATATGGGTGCTGGGATTCGAACCTGGGTCTTCTGGAAGAACAACCTGTGTTCTTAACTGATGAGCCATCACTCCGGCCCCACTAAAAGCACTCTTATAGCAAAGTTCTTCACATTGCTATTGTAGTTTAAAATTACATATTCATATCTAAACTTGTATGCTTTTGTAAACTATTTTTTTGTCTTGGCTTATATAGTAAAATTCCTTTGAAAAATTCCAACCTATCTCAAGGTGTGTTTTGTGTACATGTGGGCAGGCTTTGTGGGAAGAAGGTGCCAGGGCTCGGGTCTGCTAAGAAGAGAGAGCCACATACAGTCAGTCATGGGGTAGTGCCAGAGGGGGAGACCTGTCCTGGGGCACGTTCAGAACATCCATGTGTGCTCCTAAGAATAGGTGTACAGCCATGCGCTCCATCTGCAGAGAATCACACCCACCATCCCAATGTGAGCCGGATAAAACTCCTGAGCCAGTGCCCAAGGGGGAGCAGATCCTGGGGTGTGCAGAAAGTGGAGATGGAAGCTTTGAGCAAGAATTTCTTGGCCACCGTCACAACACGTAATGCTTATGGCAGTTACATGAAGACCCACTTTTTGTCCTGGAGGACTGTGGAGACCATCATGAAATCTAGAAAGACTCCAGGAAAACATCAGTCCTACCTGCAAAAGGTTTTATTTCAATATATCTTTTTTGAAAACTGAATGTATACTGAACAGCTCTGGCTGAGACTCAAGGCTCCCACCTCACAATCTATAGGCTAGTGCACTGGCAGACAGACAGGTGAACCAGGTAGCCTTCCATCTCTGTGAGCTCTGCATCTGTGGATTCATTCAACCTTCACAAAAATATTCCAGATTTTTAAAAAAGAAAGAGGCTTCAGTTCGGATCTGTCATCCCAGCATTTGAGAGGCTGACACAAGAGGATTGCCAAGAGTTTAAAGCCAGCCTGAGCTACACAGCTTGGGGCAGGACTGGGCTACAAAAGACCCTCTCTCAAAGCTAATACACAAAAAAGCAAAACAATAACAAAAAACAAACAAAGAGCCACTTCAACTGTGAGGCCAGCCTGAGCCACATCGTGAGACCGGTCTCAAAAAACAGATAAAAGAGGCAAATGTACTGAACATGTACAGACAAAAAAGTTTTTCTTGGGTGTTATTTCCTAAATTATGCAGTATAACTGCTTTATAGGTTGATGCTGTGTCAGGTATTGTAAGTAATCTAAAGATGATTTAATGTAGACAGAAAGATGTGTGTACACTTTATATAAGGGACCTGGTATAGGTAGAATGGGGGACATAGGATGTGGAACCAACCTCCAATGTCCCACAGAATCTGAGGGATATGATCACCCTCCTTAGGATCCAGTGAGGCAGCCACCAGCAGCCACACCAGGACCAAGAGCATTCAATGAAGGCGGTGGGATTTGCTTATCTGTTTCACAGAAGGACCTGCAGTGGTCTCCAGGCAGAGTTAACTTCGAAGGTAACTTTGTTCATCTTGTCATCATTGTGTGTGTGTGTGTGTGTGTGTGTGTGTGTTCACGATATGCAGGACACAGGTCTTAGTGTGGAGGTAAGAGGTCGAGTTCAGTTAGTGTTCCCCTAGGAGCCACCACTTTGTTGGGACAGCATATCTCCCTGGAATGGGGCTTACCAATTAGGTTAAGCTGGCTGGCTAGCGAGCCCCAGGGATCCCCCAGCTCCAACTCCCCAGGGCTGTGATTACAAGTCCTGTGTGCCTCCATGCCTGGCTTTCTCATGTGGGTTCTGAGGGTCAAACTCAGGGCTTCATGCTTGGAAGGCCCACTTTCCTGGCTGAGACATCTCCTTGGGCCCCAGTATTTGTTTTTTTTTTGTTGTTTGTTTGTTTGTTTTAATGCAATGATTGATCCTAAAACATAAGGAGAATGCCAGATTCTCATCAAGAAAATTATTCGTAAAATCGTGTCCTTCAGCGAAGTATTATGAAACCCAATAAATAAATTCCTAAATTAGAAGGCCAAACTAGTCCTGACAGCAGAATTCTTCTTGACAAGCGTGGGCACCTGGAAGGTAGCCAGCATCTGAATAGAATCTGGAGACACAGTGTTATCAGCCCAGCGCCGATCAGAAGGAAGGGTTTCCTCAACCTCCTGAGCCCACGTTCACACAAGGCCTGTGCTCAGGAATGGCAGGAAATTGCAAGTGTATAGGCCTGGAAAAACGCGGGCTCCTACAGCCCACAGTAAACACAGACTGGCTTGTGTCCTCGGTTCTGGCTGTCACGGGATCCTGACCATTCTTCGTGTTTATTATTGGAGCATTTACAGCTGGAAGAGACAGCGCCAGATGGCCCTGCCTTGACAGAAATCTGCCAGCCAGCAGGATGCTTGTGGGAGTCCAAAGAGCCATCAGGCAGCCAATGTCTGAGGTGAGCCAGGGGATATGCAGTGGGGAGGCCACGGGGAGATTAAAAAAAAAAATCTGTCTTCAATTATGGATCCATGAATATACATGGTTTCTAGGAACTAAAATATGTTCGGTTCAGTAGAAACTTAAAACTGATTTTGAAACTCTAAACCTTTTAGAATCGATGCATATGCCTTTAAGGAACCAGTATCTTTTTTTTTTAACTTTAAAAAAAAATTTATTTATTATTTTTATTTTATGCGTACACATGTATTGCCTGCATGTAGGTAAGTGCAATGCCCCTCGGAGGTCAGAAGAGGCTGTCAGATCCCCTGGGACTGGAGTTACAGACAGTTGTTAGCTGCCATGTGGGTGCTGGGATTTGAACCCGGGTCTTCTGCAAGAACAACCAGTGTCTTAACCATTGAGCCAGCTCTCCAGCCCCAAGAATCAAGTATATTTAAAAATGAACAATTCAAGATAACTGTCTTTAAAAAACAATTTGAAATTCTCTGGATTCTATGTTATAAACCAATACTCTGAAAACACATACTTTGATATGGACTCTCATACTCCATGAAAGAAACATGTGGGGGAATGTTGCTTGTGACCGGTGCAGGCAGGGTGGGCTGCCCTCACCTCACACAAAGGAACCTGCAGGGATGGTTGACCTTGACCTGCCTCAGAACCAAAGCCTGTCCTACAAACGACAGGCAATCCCCGTCACTCCATCTATTTTACAGTATTAATAGATAAATTAAAGAAATGCATCTGCATATTAATGTGTAGAGAAGTCACATATATTAAGAAAAAAGATGATTAACAGTGTAAAACAATCAACTGATGAAGGTCAAGCAGCTCAACTTGACTTCTGCTAATGACTAAGGAAAAGTGGGGGAAACGCCCAAGGCCACAACTTGACAAAGGAATTAGACAGCAGGACTAGGACACCTGTGAGAAAGAATGGAACCAGGGTCGGCTACAATCCTAGCACTCAGGAAGCTGGGGCAGGAGGAGAGTCATGAATTAGAAGCTAGCCTGGGCTACAGAAGAAAAAGAAGGAAGGGAGGTGAGCAAGGTGGGGAGGGGAGAAAGAGGCAGAGAGGGGAGGGGAAAGGGGATGGGAGAGGCTTGGGGGGGGGAGAGGAGGAGATGGCAGAGGAGGGAAGGGAAGGGGAGAAACTGGGGGGGGAGAACAGGGAGCGGTAAGGAGGGAGAGAGGAGAGGGGAGAGGAGGGGACCCTGAGGGTGACAGAAACAGTGACTGTGGTAGTGACCTTGAGGGTGACGGTGGTGGCTGTGTGGGTGAGAGTGGTGGCTGTGTGGGTGACAGTGACTGTGATGACAACTGTGATGGCAATTGTGATGGAGACAGTGATGGAGACTGTGTGGTCACTGTGATGGCGACTGTGACGGAGACTGTGACGGTGACTGTGACTGTGATGACGACTGTGATGGTGACAGTGATGGAGACTGTGATGACGACCGTGATGGCAACTGTGATGGAGACAGTGATAGAGACTGTGATGGTCACTGTGATGGCGACTGTGATGGAGACTGTGATGGTCACTGTGATTGTGACTGTGATGGTGACTGCGATGGAGACTGTGATGACAACTGTGATGGAGACAGTGATGGAGACAGTGATGGAGGCTGTGATGGTCACTGTGATGGTGACTGTGATGGCGACTGCAATGGAGACTGTGATGGAGACCATGTTGGTCACTGTGATGGTGACTGTGATGGCAACTGTGATGGAGACTGTGACAGAGACTGTGACGGTAACTGTGATTGTGACTGTGATGGCGACTGTGATGACAGTGATGGAGACTGTGACGGTGACTGTGATGATAGTGATGGTGACAATGATGGAGACTGTGATGGTGACTGTGTGATGACAGTGATGGAGACAGTGACGGTCACTGACAGTCACTGTGATGGTCACTGTGATGACTATGATGGAGACAGTGATGGTGACTGTGATGGTGACCGTGATGGTGACTGTGATGGAGACTGTGATGGTCACAGTGATAGTGACAGTGATGCAGCAGTGATGGTGGTTTCTCACTGGCTCAGAGCTTTGTACAAAAGCAGGACTGCACACACATCAAAGATAACTCACTGCACAGAAGTCACTGAACTTTAGAGTGTCAAATTTGGATTGCACAAAGTCTTGTTTTTAAAGCTGCCAGAGCAATGGTGGGATGGAGGTGGGTGTTGTTTTGTTTCTTGGACTTTTTTCCTGGTTGTTTTTTTTTTTTTTGAGACAGGGTCTTCCTGTAGCCCCAGCTTGGCTCACTATGTAGACCAGGCTGGCCTCCATCTCACCAAGATCCACCTGCCTCTGACTCCCAAGTGCTGGGATCAAAGGTGCACACTACCACACCCAGCCCCAATTGATGTAATCAGCTGCATAGCACAGTAATAACTTTGTTCAACACGACAGGTGCAACACCATTAGAGACACAAGAGGAAGTGAACCGCACAACACTGTACCTTTAGGGGACAGCGAGGTCTTGGAGAGGGTTAGGTGCTTCAGTCCTTTTGGGAGTTTGGCAAATTGAACACTTAATGAGGACACACCTGAAAAGGAAAAGCAGATCATTAGAATTTTCAGTTGCTTGTTGGTGCAAGTTTTACAATGCATGAAAATTAAGCTTGATTTTGATGCAGATGAAGTGAGTTTGTTGTGTGAGTATCTTCCAGCAGGTGTCTTTTCCTTTGTGCTGTCAGGCTGGAGAAGGGGAAGGCTTTAATCATACACAAGAGGATCTGAAACTTCATCGTTACACATACCCCCTGACAGAGTGCTTCTGAACCGCAAATTCAGAGCTGGTGAGATGGCTAGGTCAGTACAGCGCTTAATGGGCAAGCACGAGGTCTTGAGTTCAATCCCAGAAACTACATTAAAATCTGCTGGGCACGGTGGTGCACACCTTTAATCTCATCACTGAATAGGCAGAGATAGGTGGATCCTGCTTGCTGGTCAGCTAGCCCAGGCATTTTAAATAGGCAAGTTCCACGTGAAAGTTAAAGATCCTAGCTCAAAAATCAAAACAAACAAACAAAAAACACCTGAGGCAGACTTCTGACCTCACACACGTGCACACACAGACATTCTATAAGAAAGACATGTAAGCATGGGCCCTTTCTAAGGTCCTTCAAGCCGCCTTGGGTTACAGGTGAGCAGTCACCTCCTAGGGACGAGTTCTTGAGAAGGGGTGTTAAACGGTGCTGTTGGTGTCCCCTTCAGTAAGACTAAAATCCAGGCAGTTATATTCTGTACTGCGTTGCACACACACATACACACAATAAATAAGTAAATAAACTACAACTCAGCCTGAGAAGGTTCTAGACCTTCTGCCCCTCTCCTTTGAAACGTTGATCTCCAGGATGAACAGATGCAATTTAATTATTGTCAAGAAGAAGAAAGTCATTTAAACTGCTCAGGCAACAGCTTCACTATTAGCAAGTAGCTTCCTGTACATCCAGTGGCTGACCGCTAACGACCTCAGGCAGAGCCTCTGAGGAGTTTCAGTAGTGAGTCTTGCAACTGGCATAACTCAGATGTTCTAGTATTTGAAATTTTCTATCTTCTAAATTCTAGGGTAAGTGTGGGAGACGAGAAATAGCAGCTCAGTCATTCAAGGACTGCTATGAACTACCTGTTCTTCTAGAAATCAGGGAAAGACATACACGTACCCCTCCTAAGTTCCTTCAAGCAGCCTTGGGTTGGCAGTCACCTCCCTAGAACATGGTCTTGAGAAGGTCCGTTAAATAGGTGTACACATGTGCCCTCCAACTAAGTCGTAAATCCCGACAGTTCTAAAGAACTGTGCCGGTACCTGCCCTTTGCCCTTCTCTATAACCTCAAACCTCTATAAACTATTTCAAAATTTATGAGAACTACTGTAGACGTAACAGCGTCCATGCAGCGTGACTAGCCTCCTCCAGACGGGTGCTTCCGAGGACAGGGTGCCTGGGAATCTCTGCTGCAGCGTCCCACCAGAGCAGAAAATCACTGGTATGAATATCGATGGACACGACATGTCTAGGTATTTGAATATGTGAATTCATATTGGAAATGGAAGAGAGACCAGGTCTGACATTTGGAGGAATCAACCTTAGAATTAAATTAAGTACTTCGTTATTGGGGGAAGGGAAAGGAATTTTCTTTTTTTTTTTTTTTTTTTTTTTTTTTTTTTTCTTTCTGTTTATTCTAGGCACTGGCCTGGGACTCACTATGTAGGCCAGGTTGGCCTCAATCTCACAGAGATCAGCCTGCCTCTGCCTCCCAAGTGCTAGGACTAAAGGCATGCACCATCGTGCCACCATACAGGTTCACGGCTAAAAACTTCCATTTAGAGAATTTGTTGAATGGATTTCTTTTCTTAGGATTTTATTTCTTAAATGTGTCAAATGTGGAAGAAAAAAAGAGTTTAATTTTTCTTTAATTAAAAAAAAATTTTTTAGAAGAGCATTTCATTACAGTTTTAACATACTCAGTAACAGTTTCCAGAGCAAAGATACATCTCTTTCAAAAGTGGCTGTAAATTTTTAGGTTCA